CGCGCTTGAATCGGCGGCACTCCCGCATCGCCTTGGCAACGGACTAGTAATCTTGCGGAGGAGAAATTTTCGCTTTTATTCAAACTGAAATTATGATAAAAAAACAAAAACAAAATGATTTGAACATGCGCTCTCTCCGAAAAGTGTTATCTCTATATTATTTCGTAACAGGAGCTACGAGTGACGTCAGGCTATACCTTCGTAATGCGCATTCGTGTTATACCGCCGTAGCGAGCGAATTTGTCATTGATTTGAGTGTTGTGTACACACACACACACACACAATCTGCGCGTATTTAGCCATGCTACCAAATTGAAAATTTCGAAATATTGTATAACGTGTCTTCCTCGTTTTTTTTCTTTTCTTTCTTCTTCCTTGTTCCTCGCTGGACCGCAGATGTGCATGGTGAGTACAAGAAGTAGCGGCGAGTAACTATGGTCTTAGTGTGTGCATGGGCAGCGATTTTGTTCTCGTACATTTCATCGACATAATGCTATATTATTTATAAGTACTCCAGGCATTCTGAAGACGTTCTCTTCATAGAAGTAATAGAGAGAGAGAGAGAGAGAGAGAGAGAGAGAAAGAGAAAAAACGAAAGATAGCGGGAGAGCGAGAGGGGAAATGAAGTGTGTATGCATGTGTGTGTGTGTGTGTGTGTGTGTGTGTGTGCGTGTGTTTGTATGGGTAGTGTGTTGTAGGTGGTAGTGTGTGGGTGAATAACGCTTCGATGCGCGCTGAATTCTCCTTGAACTCTTCAATACTTGAGAATAAACGGCCTTCGTTTTTTTCACGTTTCGAATTCGCGACAAAAAACTAGCTCTTGAAAATCAAGACGCAGCGGCTGATGCAAGCACGCGGATCCACGTATAATTAGCGATTTTTTCTGCTTCTTAATGTGGTTATATATAGTGCGCGCATAGAGATACCTTGTGTGGCACAAAATTGTGTAAGCCTGGCGATAGCTCAAACTATTACACAGAAGATAAAACTGTAAGATACCGAGATGCAAAGTTTACGTTTCGTGTTGTGTCATGCGTGAAGGAACGAAATATGGCGTAAATCCTTTACTATCCTACTCGTTCTCTTATGGTGAAGCAGTATAAATGATGGTATGATCAAGGGGTCCCTTTTCTGAAAAGGCATGAATCGTTGTGGTCATGACAATTGTCTAGGACGTCATTTGATAGGCACGATATACCATGTGCGAAGGTTATGAGATCCTAGATTAAGACACTCACGCCTTCTCTCTCCATCTTCCTCCCACAACCCTCTCTTGCTTTCTCGCTCGCTCATCTCCCTCTTTCTTTCTCGCTTCGCTGCGCTGTGGCGTCGATTCCGAAACAAAACGCGACGATTTTCGCCACCGCCGCCGCTGCTGCTACTGCTACTGTTGCCGCTCTTACTGCTGCTATTGATACTGCAACGGCTGCCGCTGCCACCCGCGTTAGCGCAACTTGTTTAGCGTGACGCGAAAAACAATTAAGGCGCGTAACGGGGCAGAGGGCGAGCGAGGGTGGAGGGAGCACTGGCAGGGAAAACTGCTATTTCCCTTTCTCTCTCTCTCTCTCAGCCAAAGCGAACCGCTTTTTGCGGCCGGCCGCCAAATCGCCATCGAAATCGTCGTCTGCTTGATTGCCGCGATTTTCCCGCCGCGATTTTCCCGCGTTTTTTTGCGATCCAATCGCCGCTGCCGCCGCCGCCGCCGCCGCCGCCGCCGCCGCCGCCACCGCCACCGCCACCGGCCTCTTCATTAGCCGCGTCAGTGCCCCGCCGTGACGCGGCGGCGATATTGCGGCGTTTACGCGCGAACGCGGCCGATATTACGCGCAGATGAGACGCTTTCGCGCGTAAATCGCTTTCTTACTGACGACGATAAAGATGAGATGATTGCACGGGCGCGGCGATGAAATAGCGGACGCCCCCTTGTGATGGTGAATAATTATTCATTTAAAGGTGAGCGAGAGACACAGAGAGGGAACGCGAGAGAGAAAGTGGGAAGACAGAGAGATAGCAACAGATAGATAGATGGCTAGATAGATAGATAGATAGATAGATAGATAGATAGATAGATAGATAGATAGATAGATAGATAGATAGAAATATAGCTAGCTAGCTAGATAGATAGATAGATAGATAGATAGATAGATAGATAGATAGATAGATAGATAGATAGAAATATAGAATAAGATAGACAGATGGATAGATAGAGAGAGATCTCTCCATCTCTCGTCTCCTTCTCTCTCTCGTCTCTCTCTCTCTCTCTCGTCTCGTCTCTCTCTCGTGCTGCATCTCTCTCTTCTCTCTGCTGACTCACTCTCCCTCTCGTCCGTCCATCTCTCTCTCTCTCTCTCCTCTCTCTCCTCCCCCTCTCTCCTCTTCTCCTCTCTCTGTGTCTCTTCTCCATCTCTTCTCTCCCTTTCCTCTCCTCTCTTCTCCTCTCTTCTC